TGCCCAAAAAATATTGCAGCAGGCTGTTTTCAGTAGCTTAGCAAGAAGTTTTGTCTTGCTTATGAGCATTTTACACAACTGGTGTAAGTCACTTTAGAAATCGCATTTTACAAAGAGAAATAAAGTAACAGTAAGTATAGTCTACTCACTATTATGCAAGAAAATTATTGATTAGAACAATTGAAAATTAATACAAATAGGAAATATCTTGGTATTGCTAGCAGGATGAAAAAATACGTATTTAAGAATGGTAGTTGAAGTCAGCTGTATTTTGCTGAATCCTGAGGAAATTTGCTATGTAGCATGCAGTTTTTAAAAAGTCTGCAGTTGTTTTTAAAAAGTCTGTGTTGACAGTAAGTATCTTTAAGGTAACTAACAGCTAAAAGTCTGAAACTGGAAAGCCTTGGCTATGCAAATCCTGCCTTTTGGTTCTCTTCGTAGAGTGCTTAAGAGAACAAGTACAGGTTCCACAGTTAAGTCTCCTATGTACAAGTTAATAATATAATTATTATTATAATAGCCTATGACATTAAAATACATTTATCTGCAGCGTGTTTCTGAGGGGCAACACGAGTTTTTCACATTTTTAACAATCTATACTATCTTCCAGTAGCTCTTGTTGTTAGTTATACAAATACACCTTTTGTACAAGCATTCATTGCTAATCTGAAGGGACTGAATTAGTGTTGGACTGCATAAAATGAACCCCCCCTTTGTTATTATGGTAGGACTGCTGCCTAGAGGCATAACTAGCCAGGGTTTATGGCCTGAGCAACCCCTGCTGGAGAGCAGGGGGAGAGAGCGGGTAAGATGCTGCTGAGTGCCAGAGTAGTTATTGTTACTACAGCAGCGGCACAGGATCCATGCACCTGCCTGCTCCTGGGTTGTGCAGAATGCAGGGCTGCCACTCTGCAAACTGTCACCTGGGGCTAGCATCCAGCTTACCCAGCCCACCTTCTGCTACTGCTGCTGTCTAACTGGAAGAGACATCTGGATTTGCCTCTTCTTCCACTTGTAGCTCCGAGCACTTGCTGCTGAAGAGAACTGGCAAGCAATACCTAATTTTAGGAAGTTTGTGCTGCCAAGATGTATAGCAGTAGGCAAAAAGGATTCTTTTCAGTGAGGGAAACATGATATTACAAATGCTAAGTAAAAATATAATACAGGAACCTTTTCTCTGCCATGCCATTCTTATTTAGTTTTTCTATACATATGGAGAAATACTGGTTTCATAAGCTGGAAAAAAAAATAGGTCCCATGCCATCATTCCTGGCAGATATGGAGAAGAGAGTGACCATGATGTTATAAATAACAAAGCTTTGTGAAAGAAAATAATCTTGTATATTTTGAAGGGAAGTCTACAAAGCTGTGGTGCCACTGAGCTTGACTCTGTGCTCAGACCACTTTTTCCCAAATTCCATTTCTTTCCATGATATCATCCTTGATTTACTTCATGCATCTGAATGGAATCACTCTCTCCTTTATTTTTTTCTTTTCACTTCTTCATTCTTTCCTGTATGTACCCACTTAAGCATACAGGAATTTTGACAATTGCAATGCACAGTGTTGCAAAATATACAATAGTTTGAATAAGATTCACCGATTCATTCCTTACTGTGCACATTTCTCCCTAGATTAGGATAGTAAAAACTTGCCAAGTCCCACAGAAGTTCTTCTGTTTCTGAGATGTGACAGGCAAAACTTCACATATATGCCCAATGGCCACTGGTCTATAAGCCTTAGAAATTCTAAGTAATTTAAGACAAATAATACATCCAAAATATAGAAAAATAATTTTGTGTGTGTATAAACTTGCCACACTTGTATTTGAACTGCTTAATTCACACAAGCATGATGAATATAGTGTGAAGCCTTTTTAACTCGGAGCTTCTGAGGCATCTTCCGTGATTGTGAGGCAGTAAAACTCTGAGAAATTGAAGCAGTATAGAATCAAAGTAATTTTTTTCAATCCAATATTTAAAAAAGGAAAGCAGTAACAAAATTCACCCCAGTTTCTTCAAACATATAATAGAAGGGATCACCCATCAGTGTACTCTCCACAGTATCTGATCTAATACAAAGGTAACAAATAAACACTGGTTACTGAGCTCATTCTGACTTAGAAATCTATCTATGTCATTAGTAGTTAAACCAGGAGCTATTTTTAATAAACTGACACTTTTCCCTCCATGTTATAACCAACCAATGTGCAGTTTTGCTTTATGCCCTTGGTTTTCCTTCATGCATGTGCCTTCATGTCTTTAGTATACCTGTCCACCTGCAGATATGCTATATGATAATGGGTTTTTGCTCCTTGATTAGTTTATATGAGTTACCCTCTCGTAATCTGATTTTTTCTTAGTGGTTGTAACTTTCAGGAAGATGCAACAGGTTTATTTTTAGGTGTTGTGGATAGAAATCCAGCTATTTAACAAGTCACAATGCAAGCCCCAAAAGAAAGTAAATGGAGCCAAACTAAATAACTCTAAGGCTAGGGACAGATGTTACATGTACACTGGTATAAGTGATCAGAAATTGGTTCAAATTTGTAACAAAACTGAAGTTTGGTGCACATAAACTGCTTTGAAAATGGCCAAAACCAGTTTAAGAAAATCTGAATGATTGCATCCCAAGATGGTTTGGACCTCCCCCCAGAAACCCCTTCTCACAGGGTGGGCAGGCTAGCCTTGGCCCAAACTGTCTGCCCTGGCTAAGCAGGGAGGCAGTGCCCCCTAGCTTGGCCACTGTAACCATGTGGCTGCATTTTAGAATCAAAAATGAATGTCTGCTCACTTACTGATCCGTTCAATCTATGCAGCTCAGACTAACCTGCAAAGATTGAATTGACTCAGCCTTAGGATTTTTGACTGCCTTTACTTAGCCTAAAAGTCCAGTACATCCTCATGTCATAACATCTCACTCATCTCACAAATCTGGTGCAACAAACTTCATTTGTGACTCATTTGTTGACCAGCATCGTTAGAAAGTTTGAACTTACAGGATACTACCAGGAAAAAAAGCCAAAATAATAGAAATAAATTCAACTATCAAACAAAAGCATCATAGAAAGGGCCCTTATTGATAACAGAATCAAGCCTCAGATGTTTTCTTTAAGAGAAAATAAGAATTAGAAACACTTGGCTATACATTTTAAAAGAAAATCCACGAACATTCACTAACGTGGCTAGTCTTATCAGCCTTAACTCTTGGAGCATTGAAAAACCACAGAACTCTTTCTATTCTAAAAAGGCTTTGATTTTCTTAGAGATAGCTTTTACAACATGTCTGGCAAGGGATGTTTCAAATCAACTCTTTATGTAGATAATGGCCTAAACGTTCCAAATATGTACTAAATGTCTTTCAAATCCTTTGAAGATGCTTGTTGTACAAATGGCTGGTTTCCTTAGTTTATCTACTCTGAAACAGGTCTTGAAACCTTACAGAGAGATGCTACATCTTTGTAGCATCTATCCTGATAGGAAGCTCTGTGGGCAAAGGAAATTGAGGTCTAGGACCAAAAAGTCTTTGCAGGAAACCTCATGAATAAATAAGCTTAGGAAAAAACTTGACTTCACCCTACATTTATCGTGTGATTGGTTATTGGAGTTTCCTTTAGAGCTGAACCTCTGAAGTTTGGACAAAAAAAACAACATGGGCCAAATCCTTATGTGGTATAAATTAGTGCAGATTCACTGGTATTAAAACCAGTGCCATCAGGTGTAAACTTTCTTTCAACACTTAACATTAAACTATTTCTTGAGCTCCAATAGGTCATTACTGTCCATAGTGAAGAGTTTCAGTGAGAAACTGTAGAAGGTGGATAGTACAGATGCATCAAATATGGGTCCTTTTACTCAATAATAAAGATACAGTAAAAAAAATGGAAAATTGAAAAAACTTTGTCTGTGTTGGTTGTCAAAAGAAGTATAAAGATGGCCCTATTCTTTTAGCTACTTCTGAATCTCTCAGGCATGGGGAAATTCTTACGAGACACTACACTGTTGTTGCATGTTCATATTCAGAACCACTTATGAACTCTGGGTAGTTAGGCATCAGCCTTAAGAACCAAGGAGTCATAACGATGGCAAAGGGGAAAAGTCCCTACATCAAGTGCATCTTAGTCAGATCCAGAAATCAGGTCCATAATCTTAACTATATCGGCAGACATAAAAGACTTCATCTATGTCTGGTAAGCTAAGGGCCTGCCTGAGAGAATACAAGGGGCTGGAGTTATGATGTGCTTCAAGAGCTATGGTTCCTGGATGGCATAATGAACCTTGGAGGCCATTAGCTGTCAATAATGCAGTGCAATAGCCAACCCAGCCCCTAATCAGCCCCAGCAAAACATAAAGGGGCATCTAGCTTAACCAAAGTGAAATATCTGTTGTCTGTGATTTGTAGAGAGAGCCATAAGTCAACATGAGGTTTGTTCCTGTACTTGAAAGCAGGAACAGGAATTGAAGAAGAGCATTGCGCTGTCTTTGGTCTGGTTGTACAGTGTGCTCCTTTTGGGTGCAGGTCTGTACAGGAGTGCTAGAGATAAATTTGTTTGCAACTAGGCTGCTTCTCTTACCACGGATAATTCACTACTCTTCTATCTTGACTTGCAGCAGAGTGTTTTTGGAAGACCCACTATGTCTGTTCAAAAAGTTAAACTGGTTGAACTATTTTGCACAAGATAAAAATGTATCCGCTGGTTTTACCAAACACTGTTTCTTGTCTCAGTGAATATCCACAGTAGGTCTTGTATTTATTTGTTTTTCTATTTAGAAGGTGGTCTAGAACTACTTTCTCTGTCCTTTTTAAAAAGAGCATTTAGATTATGGCTCCAAGAATTATTTGCAATTTTTTGGAAGGAAAACAATACATCTGAAACCAAAATCTACCCTGCAAGGGTAGTTCAACAAATGAGAGCCTAAAACATAGCTTATTTCAGTAGATAGATATCTGTTGTTTACTTCAGTTAAGGCTGAATTACCTTATTTTTTTTCTTACAACAGGAAGATTCAACAGACTGTGGTGGGGTCTCTGGTCTGAACCCATCACTTTGGTCTATGATTGGAATCCAGTTTGTCCTGCTTTGGCTGTTATCTGGTAGCAGACACTGTCAGTTATGACCCTGTTAAACCAAAACCTGCATACCTAATCAAGACCCTGCCAAAACATTAGCCCTCAGTTTCATTTTAAAAGGGGTCAACTATTCAAACAGCAGAAGAACAGCAATGCCCGTGACTTGGTATCACTCTATACAAAAGACTCAAAAGGGCACCCACAGTGGCTGCATGTTGGAGTCAGATCCTTAAACTTGTGTGAATGCTGCATCATCTATGCCATCTGAACAGAATTTGTGTGTGCTTCATGGAGGAATCTTAATTTGTTGGTTATGGTATCATTGATGACTTCATGTATAAGGGCTCCCCTTAGGTAGCTTATGGTCCATACGATTTCTGTTTATTTTGAACTTAACTTTGCATTTGTTGCAGACCTTGCAACACTTCTTCATGAGCACTAGTAAAGATGTTATTTCTTGAATGCTCTTTCTTCACTTTATTCAGACCCTCACAGCTGCTGTGAACATCAGTTGTGTCCAGAATATATAATCGACTCCAGTTCATCCAAAATGGGTTAGGGATATGAAAATATTGGCTAGTTGTCTTCAGAAATTCACCGTGACTGAAATGCCTTATGCTGAGTGGCTTGTTCTGCCAAAATTAATCAAAACGGGTGGCCCGCTAAGTTTTGGTAGGTTCTTAAACTGTTGGTTTAAAAACCAAATAAAATCAAGCAAGCAAGAAGCTACTGAATTTAGACATATAAAGGTGCTTGGGAGTTCAATGTTTTAACAAAACCAGTGGTTTTCCTCTTAAATTCAGTGTCATGTCCCCTTCACAAAACTGTTAATTTTGATGTAATATTCTCCCGTTTCTTCACAGTGCAGTTACATAATGCTAGTCAAATCCTTCAAAATGCTCAAACAAAAAACTTGTGAATAAAAAAATGTCTTTGTGATTATTGAACGTTGGTTTCCAAGGGTATTTTGCATGATGATGCTGCTACTTTATTGTTTTTAAGTTTTTTTTCTTTTTGATGGTAGAGTATAGTCCATTGAAAAGGTAAATGAGTGATTTTTTTGTTGTGTGAGAAACTAAACATTGCAATGTGATGCGAATAAATCATCATAAATTATATTGTTAAACGGAGCTCTGAATATACTGTGCAATGAAAAAGCTAAGAAAGTAATTTAGTTGCCTGGTAAAAGAGATGAGGTGGGTTTTATACAGATTAGTGCTCTCATATGAAAACCTGTGTACAGATATTTTACGTATATATAAATCAGATCTGACGCATTTATTTTTGAAGAGTATATGTTCTCAAAGATTCATACCAGGTTCCCCCTTTGTTTCTACAATACAGTTGCACCTGTAATATTAAACCTCTAGCTGTTGCTATTTTATATTGAAAATAGCAAATTTAACAAAGCAAGATTTCCTGGTTGCTGAAATTAGAACATAATCTGAACAAATGGGGAGCCTTGAATCTATATGTATGCACATTGATCCTTGATTGTGAATAATAATTAAAAAAAAAAGTTGTTTTTATACAACCTTGTTGGTGATACAAATTGGTGCAGTAAATTACAATATTACAGTGTAGAATAGTGTAGATGCAAAATATGATTTGCGCTTTTTTCTAGTTTTCAAAACAAAACAGTATTGCAAGACAGCTAAACCAATGAATGTGCAACTCTGCTGATATTGTACAATTCTGCTAACAGCTGCAATACGCAAATATTAATATGGTACAATAGCTCTTAAAAATAACAAAATGCAAAGCGTTGGTATGCATATGCTGGCAAATGACTCTAATATAAATTTGATTACATGAAAAATCTTACGGAGAAATTATTGGACATGCCATGAAAGTTAGAGAAGTTCCTCAAACCCCATGGTATGACTTCAGCAATTGAATCTCTACTTGTAGCTGTGCCCATAGTTGGTTGGTTGTTTTTCACATGTACCCTTGGTTCCAGCTGTGTATGTTCTCATGTTTAGGAGTTCAATAGGGGAAACAATAAAAAAACAAACAAAAACCCCTTCCAATCTTTGTGTTGAATTATCACCATTGGCTTTTTGATCCATTTAGTATAGGCATATGATTCAAAATAGAACTGACTGAGCTTGGTAGCTCCAGTTTATCTTCATTTAAAGATGAGCTGATTTCACCTGTATGGAGTGAGGATTACAGCAAGACTTTCCAGTAGCTGCAATTCTCTTCACCCTCCCTTCCCCTGCTGCCAAATGCTAGAATTTTTCCAACATTGAGGCTCTATCCTCCAAACCCCCAAACATGAAAAAATGACATGCTTATAGGACTGTAAAATCAAACTCTTAAGATTGCACATTAGTTTGTATTTGCTTTTTTTGATTACTTGAAAGATCTATTAAGTGCTTTATGTTTAAATAGTTCAACTTAGTTTTCCGGGGGGGAAAAGCATGTAATGGAAAAGTAAAATACTTAAACTTTTAAGTCATGCATACTTGACTAGATTTGCTAGCATGTGTGAGCCATATCCTGAGTTACTTAGGATAAGTACTT